TTGCAGCTACTCGGAAGGCTGAGGCAGAAGGATCGCCGGAGCCCAGCAGGCTGAGGCTGTGGCGCCCGGGAACGGACACTGCACTCCAGGTTGGGCGACAGAGTGAGACTCCGACTCAAAAAAAAAAAGTGCCAACCCTGCACTGCCTACTCCCCAAAACAAAGGTGACAAATGGCAGGCACATCCTAAGGCGTCCAGTAAAAGACTGTTTTCGTTTTTCGGGAGAGGGCCAGGCACAAGTCTGGAGTGAATTTCCTCGTCTCCTTCCACCTTAGGGCTCAGGGAGCCAGAACAGAGCGGAGAAAAGCGTCTTGGCTTGCTGGTGTTTTTCCTGCAGCAGGTGGGTGGGACTGAGCCAACCAACTCTTGGCATCAACCAAGCATCAACAAATATCTCTCCAGCTCCACTCATGTGCTGAGCTGGTTCCCAAGGACATCCCTCGTGCCGTTCTTCACACCTGGGTCACCACCCCACCTGAGCTCCCTGTTGGCCACCCCCGCCCTGGGTCCTCTCTATGCTTGGGACTCTCCTGCACCTCCCCTCCTCCCTCCCCCCAGCCCCTCCCCACTCTCTGCTCCCGATGTGCTCCACTGGGCCCAGCAGGGAAGAACAGTCTCTTAGTCACTTCTCTTGGGCCACAGGTAGAATGTTCTGGGGCTGCGTGCTCCCCCTCCCCGCTCCTGCTTCTCCAAGTGCCAGTTGGCTGTGTCCCGGGACAGTGAGGGCAGGGAGTGTGTGAGGGTTCTGGCCCTCTGCCCAACTCACAGCTCCACTCAGAGGCTTGTTCAAGGGCAGCCTGGCTGGGAGGACAGGTGAGGGGCCCCTGGGTAAAGAGGCTTCCATGTTGGATGGCCCACCTGTCCTGGGCAAGCCCCTGGCCCTCAGTTTATTCATCTGAGCCCAGGCAGTAAGAGTGCCTGCTCTGCTCACTGACAGGAGGCTGTGATGAAAGCACTTATTGTTTTGATCACTTATCTCTGCTGTGTGTGTGCGTGCAGCTCCCAGGGCCTTGTAAGGAAAGCCCCGGGGAGGCGTGGTTCAGGCAGAAACCATCCCTGTTTGTTTTGATGTCTGTACCTCTGGGGCGGGGAGGTTAGGGTGGCTGGAAACCAGAGAATGCCTCTTCCTTCCATCATCAAACATTTCTTGAGCACCCACGAGGCATCAAGCCCTGTGCCGGGCATTGAGGCTGACGAAGGCTTCACTTCCATCTTCCGGGAACCCCCAGCCCAGCAGGGGAGACAGATGTGTGGAGGGTTAACCACAACGTCAGGCCTCAACTTTCCCATCTGCAACATGAGTGAATCATGCTAGACTGTCCCAGCCAGCCCTGTGTGCATTAGGCCGTCAACAGCCCTGTCTCAAATGCCCTGTATGCTGAACATTCACTGGCAAATGGCCTCGACCCAAAGCCATGGCACCTGTGATGTTTCTCCCTTGGGAAGCCCAAGGACTACACATCTGTCTGGGTCAGAACTAGAAGCGCAGCCACCCCAGGGCACTGGATCATGGCGGGGCTCAGGGACACGTCGGCGCTCGGGCCCCCGACGAGCTCCTCCTGCATAGTGGGGAAGAGAGACACACAGAGACCACAAAGAGGGCCACTGTCCCCCGTTTTGATCCCTCTGCCACGAGCCCTAGCCACTCTCACTCACCCCCACGGTGACCCCTCCCTCCAGGTTGTCTCAGCCCCTGCGCTGGGCCTGGCCTTTCTTGATCCTGGCCTGCCTGGCCTCCACCCCCCAGGGCTTGGTAATACGTGAGGCAGAGATTGGGTTTTTTCTCTGGCCTCTGGTCAAACTGGATTTCTCCCTGTTCCGGAACGAGCAGCCTCCCCGCACCCCCAACTTTGCCCTAGTTATTCCGTCCACTGAATGTCCTCCCTCACCTAGTCTGTTGTCTTGCACAACTCTCGGGGGGTGCTGTTCCCAGAACCAGCCGCCTTCCTCCACTCTGGTACCTTGGTCCTTGTTCCCTTTCCCCGAATGTCCGCTGTTGGCCAGTGGCCGGGGACAACTCCCTGGGGTCCCATTCACGGAGACGTATGTGTTCTTTGTTGCTTTCCGCAGCACAGTCCCCGGGGCCCCACCTCCACCGGGCCCGGTGTGCCCGTCTCAGGGGACTTTGCACCCATCCTGGCTTTATCGGATGGCTCTGTGTGTCTTCGCCAGGGAAACACCCACCCACTCACCATGCTGATGTTCCCAGAGCTTAGCCCTGGCTTGTTCATGGTGACCTCTCCCACCCAGTTCTGACCCAGGAGGTTTGGTCCCGGCAGTGACAGAGCCCACTGGGCCAAACCTCTGTGAAGGTGGCGAGGGAACAGGCTTCTATCGCCTCCAAGGCCCCTCCTCTGGCTGGGCAGGGAGCTGGGCGAGGGAGATGGAAAAGAGCAGGTAATGGGCCCAGGTATCCTCCCCGCATCCCCACTCCCTAAGCTTGACCTCATCCGGTCAATGCCAAGAAGATTGTGATTATAATAATAAGAGTAGCGATAGCACCGTGATGAAAGTGACAAGGACAGGGACAACAATCATCAGGGTGGGGCTCCTCTAGGACATTCTCAGAGTTTCATCCTCAGATTCCTTCTGAGGGTCCCAAGCCTGGAGCGAGGGAGCACTGGGGTGCTGGGACCCAGGTGTTCAGGCCCCAGACCCAGCTGGGCCTGGCTGCCCTCTCCTTCCTGCCCTGTGAACACCAGGTACCCCTGGGCCGTGACTCAGTGTCAGGCTCCAGGCTGACCTCAGCATGGCCTGTGGGCAGGGGGAGAGGGCAGTTTCTTCTGAGACTGGCTGGTGACTCAGGGGCCCAGGGCTGGGGCCCAAAGTGCCTTCTGTTGGCCGGCGCTCAGGAATCCAGAGAAACTGGTCAGGGGCAGGCTCCAGTGGCTGAAACCCCTCCCTTTGCCTCCGCCCCTCTGCCGGAGTCCTATAACTGCTCGACCTGTAGCCCGGGAGTGCGGTGGCAGCTGTTGGCAGGAGGGAACTGGTCTGGTCACACTTGCTGTGCTTGTGCATCTGATCTCGACTGTGCATCCGGCGCTCAACTCACCAGAAGAGGCTTTCCCTGCGAACGTCGGGCCCGTCCTGTCCTCGGAGCTTGGAATCTCACAGCGCTCGGAGCCCGACCCCTCAGCCTTCCAGGCCCCCGACCCCCGGCGACGCTGAGCCATGGCCTCCATGGGGCTGCAGGTGATGGGCGTCGCGCTGGCCGTGCTGGGCTGGCTGGGCGTCATGCTGAGCTGCGCGCTGCCCATGTGGCGCGTGACGGCCTTCATTGGCAGCAACATCGTCACGTCGCAGACCATCTGGGAGGGCCTGTGGATGAACTGCGTGGTGCAGAGCACCGGCCAGATGCAGTGCAAGGTGTACGACTCGCTGCTGGCGCTGCCGCAGGACCTGCAGGCCGCCCGCGCGCTCATGGTCATTGGCATCGTCGTGGCCGCGCTGGGCGTGCTGCTCTCCGTGGTAGGCGGCAAGTGCACCAACTGCGTGGAAGACGAGAGCGCCAAGGCCAAGACCATGATCACGGCGGGCGTGGTGTTCCTGCTGGCCGGCCTGCTGGTGATGGTGCCGGTGTCCTGGACGGCCCACAATGTTATCCGCGACTTCTACAACCCACTGGTGGCCTCTGGGCAGAAGAGGGAGATGGGAGCCTCACTCTACGTGGGCTGGGCCGCCTCAGGCCTGCTGCTGCTTGGGGGGGGCCTGCTCTGCTGCAACTGCCCGCCCCGCACTGACAAGCCCTACTCGGCCAAGTATTCTGCCGCCCGCTCCGCCCCGGCCAGCAACTACGTGTAAGGTGCCGCCGCTCAGCTCAACTCTGTCCCTTCTGGCTTTGCTTCTCCCCGGACCGAGCTCAGTGCAGCCTGTGACCCCAGGATGGCCCTGCCACGGGGCCTGAGTCCGGCCGTGGGCCGGCAGCCCCGAGCCCCTCTGGACACCTTCCCAAGGCCTCCTCTCACCAGTAAGGATGGATGCTACCTCTCCTGAGCGGCCTGTGGATCCAGGGGAGGGGGCGGAAGCCGTGGGGTGTGGCTGTGGAGTGGGGAGAGGGCTCCTGCTGGCCAGGACGGCTCAACCCTGACCCTGGGCTCTGCCTCTGAGTGCCTGCCCTGGCCGCGCCGGTGTTGGCCACCGTCCCCGTTTTGATCTTGCCCCCTGCCTTTGCCCGAATCTTCTCCAATCCCAACCCTTCTTTTGCTGCTGTCACCCACATTCCCGGGCACTCCCGGGACCCTGCCTGGGCCCCGGTGTGACCGGTGGGTCAGCGAGCGCCGCCTGTTTTGCCTATGGAAACCTGCAGCCATGAGGATGGCTGTGGCCTTACCCACCCACCTGCCGGATCTCAGAGTGGATGGACGGGTTTGGAGGGGAGGGGTGAAGGTGGTACAAACTGGTTTGGGCAGTGATGGGGGAGGGGGCCAGAGAGGCAGCTGGGGTGGCCCCCACCCCTCCCCACCCCCGCTCTGCCGCCTCAGGACTCTGCCTCACGCACCTCAGCGGAAGGACCAAGGCCAGCGGTGACTGGCCCCCTTGGGATCCTCTGCCCCTGCCAAGGACACTGGCCTGCCTGGGGGTGGGTGGGGCGGATTCGCCCTAGGAAGTCCCAGGGGTTCCCCCTGCCTTCTGTGGGGTTTCTGTTTTGTAATTTAAGGAGATCTTTTCACCACTTAATTAATATTATTTTCTACAATAAATGGAACCTGTGCACAGGAGGTCTTTGTGTTGTCTCTGATTTCAGTTGTGTAGGTGGGCAGGGCAGGGGTCAGTGGGCGGGGGGACCACCACCATGCTGTGGCCAAGACAGGAATACTTAAAAAAACGGGTTTTGGGGAATCGTGAAAACTCGGAACTAGCCCAGTTTTCGGGATCTCCTTGTCCAACCCCTTCATCTGCTGGAGGGTAAACCCCGTACCCCAGTGAAGGGCGGGAGACCCCAGGAGGGAGAAGGGATGGGAGCACTCGGCTCTGGGGGATGGGCCACCTTTGTCCCAGCTTGGTCTGGGCAGCCAGGCTGGTCTCATCTTTGCTGGGTCACCCGACAGTCCCGCCTCCAGCCTTTGCTCAAGCTGTCCCTGCCCTCAGCCTGGAATGTTCTTTTTCCTTTCTCCACCCCTCTGGATCCTGTTTGTCCTGAAGGTTCAGCTCCCAGCCTCCTCCTCCATGAAGTCTTCCCAGACTTCTGGATGGAGGAATCCTCACCTGCTCTGTTCACGTCCCCAAGGTGCTGCCGGTCTCCAAAGCCCTCTCACCTGCCCCGGCTGATGGCAGCCTCCAAGCCATGCCTGGAGCTCAGCATTCCAGTCCCCTTGCAGATGAGGAAATTGAGTCCTGGATGTGTGAAAGTGTGTGGCCCAGGCCTTGACCTACATAGCTTGGGCGTCTCGGGCTCTGAATCTGAGGCCGCCAGGGGCTCAGCGAACACTTGGTTCCCTGCTCTGCCACGATCCAAACTTCCCAGCCTGCTTCCAGCCAGTGGTTAGAGGTGAGAGGACCCAGCATCTCAGGAAGAGTGGCCGGCCACACCTGGCTCAGGGATGGCGGGGGCCGGGGGGGAGCTTTGCTGTCACTTCTCCCTTCTTGAACCCACAGCGACAGATGTCACTCCTTCTTGGGGCTAGAGAACTGCAGAGCCATGAGTCCCTTCACCCCTCTTGGGGGCTCATTTATTAGGCAGAGCAAGTGGAGGGTCAGAGGCCGGCCGGGGGCTGGGACCGGAGCTCACACCCTCGACGTGAACTGTCTCCTGCTTTCGGTACAGGTAGACGATGCCGGAGATGAAGCCATCCTTGGCAGAGGTGCCTGGTACCACCTCGACTTCGGAGGTGGCCAGCTCCCAGCAGTCCACAGGCCAGGCCACCAGGCGTTTCCATGCCCCAGCCTGCTCCAGCCCATCCAGAGCGGCCTCCAGCACCTCCTTGTATCGAAGGTTGGACGGGTTGGTCCTGGTGGTCAGACACACCAGCCCACCT